AATCTAGTAGTTTTTTTGGTGGAGTGTTTACAGTTTTCTATGGGCAATATTGTGTTGTCTGCAAATAATGAGAATTTTACTTCCTCCTTTTCAATTTGGATGACTTTTATATTTTCCTCTTGTTTAATCACTGTCCTAGCACTTCCAGTACTATGTATAATAATAAGAATGTAATATGCTAATTAGACCAGACATCCTTCCAGACAACCTTCCAGACGAGGGTAGCCCGGGTCCCGGGTGCCAAAGGGAAGCTGGTGCCGGCAGCGGGGGGACGTAAGGCCTACTCTTGCATGAATTTCATGCATCGGGCCTCTAGTGTTGAATAAGAGTGGTAAAAGTGTAAATCCCCTCTTGCTCCTGTTCTTACTGGAAATGGTTTTAGTTTTTGCCCATTGAGTACAATTTTGGCTGTAGGTTGGTCATATATGGCCTTTATTATGTTCAGGTATCATCCCTCTATCCCACTTTGATGAGAGTTTTTGTCAAAAATGGGTGTTAGATTTTGTCGAGTGCTTTTTCTGCCTCTATTGATATGGTCATGTGATTTTTGTCTTTCAGTTTGTTTATGTGATGTATCAGTTTTACTAATTTGTGAATACTGTACCAGCTTTACATCCCTGGGATAAATCCCACTTGGTCATGGTGTATGATCTTTCTAATATATTGCTGGATCTGATTTGCTAATATTTTATTGTGAATTTTGGCATCTATGTTCACCAGGAATACTGGCCTGTAATTTTCTTTCTTTGTAGTGTCTTTATTTGGTTTTGGAATTGGGATAATGCTGGCCTCATAAAAAGAGGTTGGAAGTGTTCCTTCCTCTTGAATGTTTTGGAGTAGTTTGAAGACAAAGTGTTGGTTCTTCTTGGAATGTTTGGTAAAACTCCCCTGTGACGCTGTCATTGGTGATTCTTATGTGAGAAAATTATTGCAAATGTGAAGGCCAAATGGTGATTTTTAAATTCTATAATTTCTTCTTTATTAGTTGTGCTATCCTAAAAAAAGGAAATTATTCTTATCCAATACCTGTTAGTTTTTTATTTATTCATTTATATTATTATGTATTTGTTGATTCGTATTCTCTAAGTTATAATCCATTACTGTTGTTATTCATTTTATAGCTTTGGGTGAGTTCATTGCTTTCAAGGGTTCTAAATGGTCTCAGAGAAGCCAACTGGGAAATATATATAAAAGAAACACAGGAAGGAAAAACTGGAAACTAAAACCTAAAAGCATGTTTGCCCATAGCAGGTGGGTCAGAGCAGGACAGAAAGTATGAGGATGGGAACAGTATAGATGATGATATATAACATGTAAATTGCAATCTGTTTATACATTTAAAACCCAGGAGTTTGAATTGATAGCTCCAATTCTAGTTTGACACCATGGAGTCCTTTCCAGCCTCTCCTTTTCCACGTACAGAGCTCCTTTCCCAGAGTGAGGGCCACTTCCTTTTCCTCAATGGTTGCTTATGTGCTGAATTGTTGGATACAGGGCGACTTGTTTCAGAACCTTGAACTGTAAATGCCATGCGATGTACAACTTAAGACATTGTTTTCAGTGTTTTATTTTTAATTGAAAGATAAATATAAATTCTGGTTTCGAAAATATCTTAGGGTCTTTATTTATTTTTCCCCTTTACTCTAACTTTGGAGTTAATTTGAAATATAGTTAAGTACATTTGATTTGTTTTACTCTACTTTGCGTTATTTAACACCTTTAATATTTATGTTTTACTTGCAAAAGACAGCATAGTCAATACTACACAAATAATTCTACTCATCTCCTCATCTCTTCTGCCCCAACTCCTGTCAGTAAACAATTTCATTAGTTTCTAATTCATTCTTCCTGTTCTTCTTTCTGCTCAAATAGGCAGACACATGTCTATTTTATTCCCCTTTGTTTTTACATAAGAAGAAGCATGCTATAAATACTCTTTCACACATTGCTTTTTTCATTCAGCAATATATTCTAATATTTCTCCACATGGACTTATAGATATCTTTGTTCTTGTTTCCTCACAGTTGAAAAATACTCAGTTGATGTTTTATAGAGTTTTCTTTAATCGTCATGAAATGAGATATTGGTGATATGTGTCCTAAATGCCACTGAATTGTATACCTCAAATAGCTAAGTAGAAAGTAAAAAGTGATGCCTGCATACAGCACAGAAAAGAATTATAAAACAATAATAATAATGTATGATTAATATGTTAATAGAGTAAAAATGGAACTGAATATATGTATTTACTTAAAACAGAGGAAGACAAGAGGCATATATGTGAAACAGATGAATCAAATGGCAAATATAGTAATAAGGAAAATATAAATTCTAGTGTATTATAATTATAGTATATGTCCATAGACAGTATATCCAGAAATATAATAATTGTTGTTTTACATAAAATGAACAATATCCAGCATTACATATTGACCAATGCACACCTCACAGATATAAGGACAAAGAAATGTTTAAATTGATGAAAAAGAAATACCATTTAAACACCAACCAGGAGAAAGCTGCATCCTGACTATACTATACCATATTTACTATACTACACTACACTACGCTACTCTGTGCTATGCTATGCTATGCTACATACACTATACTACACTATACCATGCCATAGCACGCCACGCAACACTACACTACACTATACTATACTACACTATGCTATGCCATGCCATGCCATGCCATACCATACCATACCATACTATACTATACTTTACTATTCTATGCTATAGTAGTATCTATATATCTAACTGTATGTCTATCTGTATATGTATCTACCTCTATACAGATATAACATATTTATATTAATATCAGAAGTAGATGAGGTATTAAGGTAAGACCCATTACTAGAAACTCTTCCTAATTATAAAACTAGTGGTGCGCTCTTCAATGCATTCCTAAAAGTCTCTTTCTCCAACATCCTTGCTTTGTGGGAC